GAACTCACGACCTTGCGCTTGCCAGGCAGGCGCTTTGCCGCTGAGCTAAATCCCCAGCCCCTGTTTCATGTATGTTATCTTCCAGCAGTTTCAAACTTTTTTTTTCATCAGAGTATTTGATCCATTTTGATTTGATTTAAGTACAGGATAATAGATAGGAATTTAGGTTTGATCTTCTGCTAGTGGGCATCCAGTTTTCCCATCACATTTGTTAAAGAGGCTCTTTTCTCCAATGTATATTTTGGCCCCTTTGTCAAAAATCAGATGGCTATAGGTACATGTGGTTGTTATTGTATCTTCTGTTGTTTTGCATTGGTCTGCATATATTTTGTGCCAATACCATGTTGTTTTTGTTACTGTAACTTCGTGGTACAACTTAAAGTTGGATATTGTCATACCTCCAGCTTTGTTCATTTTGCTCTGGACTGCTTTGACTATTCTGGGCCTTTCTGATTCCCTATGAATTTTAGGATTGTTTTTTCTAATTCTGTGAAGAATATTGTTGCTATTTTAACAGAAATTGCATGAAAGCTATAGAATACACTTGGGAATATTGCAATTCTCACAGTATTACTTCTTCTAATCCAAGAACTAGGGATGTCTTTCCATTTTCCATTGTTTTCATCCTCTTCAGAGTTATATAATTTCATTGTAGAGATCTTTCACATCCTTAATTAGGTTGATTCATAGGTATTTAATGTTTTTGAAGCTGTGTTTTGTTTGTTTTGGTTATAGTGAGACAAGGTCTCATTCTTTAGTTCAGGCTGGCCTTGAACTCAGTAGGTAGCCTGAGTAGGTCTCAAACTTAAGCAGTCCTACTGCCTCAGCCTCCTGAGTGCTGGACACCACCACACCCAGTTTGAAGCTATTAAGATTAGAAGTGTTTTCCTGATTTCTTTCTTGGTGGGTTCATTATTGATGTATAGGAATGCTGTTGTGTGTGTGTGTGTGTGTGTGTGTGTGTGTGTGTGTGTGTGTTTATCTTGACACTTTACTGAATTTATCAGATCTAAAAGTCCTCTGGTGAAATTTTTTGGATCTTCTATGTCACAGCTCATATGATCTACAAATAGTGATAATGTGATTTCTTCCTTTCCTATTTGTATCCTTTTATTTCTTTTTCTTGCCTGATTGCTCTGGCTAAAGTTTTAAATACTGTATTGAGCAGGAGTGGTGAGAATGGACACTCTTCTCTCATTCATGATTTTAAAGGAAATACTTTTACTTTTCCCAGTTCCATATGTTGGCTGTGGGCTTGTCATATGTGGCTTTTATCAGTTTGAGATATGATCCTTCTAAAGCTTTTTCCTTTTCTTTTTTAAATTAGATTTTATTGGTACATTTTAGATATAAATAACAATCACATTCATCAAAGAGAATTTGTACCTTACACGATATAACCTGGTTTTTCTCCCCATTCCCCACCCTCCCTTCAACCCCTCATCCCCTCCCCATTTACAAAGCTTTATTTCCATGTTTTCCTTCTTCTCTCATTTTTATTTTTACTTTTTCCTTTCCCCTTCCTTTCTCTCTTGTTCCCCTCCCCATTTTCCTCCTATTTCAAAATATATTTTTTTTTTTTGTTTTTCTTCCGGTACCAGGAATTGAACTCACTACCTTGCACTTGTCAGGCAGGTGCTGTGCCGCTAAGCTAAATCCCCAGCCCCCTCAAAATACATTTTGATCCTTATTTATACTTTCAGTTTCTCACACCAGAGAAACGATGCAGTATTCATACATATGTCTGATTTATTTCACTTAAGAGTGTGGACTCAAGTGGTACATCCATTTTCCTAGAAATATCTGGAGCATATCCTTCTTTATGGCAGAGTAGCACTCCATTGTATAAAAAAACCCACATCTTCTTCATCCATTCACCAGTTGATGGGCACTTGTGTTGTTTCCATGATTTGGCTATTGCAAACTGTGCCACTGTAAACATAAGTGTGCATATGTCACTGTGGTATGATGTTTTTAATTCTTTTGGGAAGATACCCAGGAGGAGAATAGCTGGGTCAAATGGCTACAGCTGTTTTCATCAGAGTTTGTAACATGGAGAGATGTTGGATTTTGTTGAAAGATGTTTCTGCATATATTGAGATGATTATGTGATTTTTTACCCTTGCTTCCATTTATGTGTC